AGCCTTCGGCGGGGCTCCTGGCGCTGGCCGTGCTCCTGGGGCTGGCGCTGGGAGGCGGCGCGGCCGCCCTCCTCTGGCTCGGCGCGCTCGGGCCTCGCCTCCTCCGCCGCCCGCCCCGCCGCCGCCAGGTACCGCGCGCCTCGACGGGCTGGGGGCCGATGGGGACCGCAGAGCAGCGGACGGGGCGGTGGCGGGAGGTGGTGGGCCAGTGACTGTCCCCTCCGTGGCCTCTGTGGACACGCCTCGTCGCCCTGCGGAGTGGCGAGATCGAATGGGGGGCCGCCCGCCACCGGTGCGGACAAGGGAGGGAGGCGCTGGGCCAGGCACGGACTGTCTGCTCCCGTCGTGTCCCTCGCCCGGGGTGGGAGGAGAGCCCCCGCCGCAGAGCGGAGCTGCCCTTCAGTCCCAGAGCAGTTCTCCGGGCAGGCAGGGGGCCCTTCTTCAGGGCCTGCAGCCCTTGCGCCGAGATCCCTTCCCCAGTCGATTGGCAACGTTGCAGGGGGGTCACTGGGTTGGCCTGAAGCAGCAGAAGACCCTTCGAGTCCAGGGGCAACTCTGAGACCAACACAGTTTCAGTCTGGGTATAAGCTTCCGTGTGCACACAACACCTTCTACCCAGAATTAAACTTTGTTGGTCTTAAAGGTGCCTGTAAAGTAAAGGTTCCCTTGCTGAAAGCCAGTCAAATCCGACTCGAGGGTTGCGGTGCTCATCTCCGTTTCCAAGCCGAAGAGCCAGCGCTGTCCAAAGACGTTTCCGTGGTCATGTGGCCGGCATGACTAAACACCAAGGCGCGCAGAACGCTGTTACCTTCCCACCGAAGTGGTACCTATTTATCTACTTGCAATTTCTTGCTTTCGAACTGCTAGGTTGGCAGGAGCTGGAACTAGAGACGGGAGCTCACTCCGTCATGCAGCACACTCGGGTCTCGGAACTGCTGAACTACTGACCTTCCAAAGCCTGCAGTTCAGCGTCATAACCACTTGAGCCACCGCAGCTCCTGCCTGACTGGACTCGAATTTTGCTCTGTTGCTTCAGACCAACAAGGCAACCCTGCACCGGAATCGATTTTCGTGGCAAAAACCTGACACGATCCTGCACCTGCTGTTCCAACTAGTACCACTATTCAGATTTCTACCCCTTCGTCCTGAAGGTGCACCTGAGGGAAGCATGTCCCCTCACCAAGGAGTGAGTGGCAGTGGCTTGGTGCCACCCCTGCATGCACACGCGCACCACAGTGCGAGCCCATCGGCTACACGTGGGAAGCTGTGTCTCAGGGAATGCCCAGCCTTCCGGTGGAAGCCCCTTCTCTGTCGTGGGGAGCCCCCCATGCCCACTAGCATCCTCCACAGCCTGAGGAGGGAGGCGGCATCCCGTCCGGAACAAAGAAGGGAGAGAACCAACGGGCAGCAAGGAGCCCGCGCACCCACTTCCCCCTCGGTGTGCCTTGTCCTGCATATGTTTATGACATGTGCATGTGGTTGCCAACCTCCAGGTGGGGCCTGGTGGTCTACTTTTATGACTGATCTCCAGACTACAGAGATGCTTTCCACTGGAGAAAATGGCTGCTTTGGAAGGTGGGCTCTGAAACATTAGAAGCCGATGAGGTCCCTCCCCAAATCCTGCCCTCTTTCGACTCCACCCCCAAAATCTCCAGGTATTTCCTAACCCAGAGCTGGTAACCCTATGTGTAGAGGATCCACTCTGCGTAGGGACTGAAGGATGCTAGGCCATGCTGAAAGAGCTGGGGAACGGACTGCAATGAAATGTGACATGCTGATGCAAGGGACATGTATATTCAGGAATGCAATCTTTACATAATTCCGTAAACCGGCCAGTTCATCAATAGAATAGAATTCAAGCGAGGCCATTTAAAACATTTCAGATGACGTCTGTTGAACTGTCTTGCTGTTATAATTAAAAAAAATAATCCTGTCCTTGGGATTTCAGAAGGAGGACTCCCGAAGATTGGTTGAAGGCCATCCCTCTGCAGCGAGTCAAAAACATTGTCATGAAGGAGAGTGTTCCTTACCAGAAATGAAAGAAAGAGACACGTGGAGAGCCACAGGAAAGGTATTAGGCCATTTGCTTAGAGGTAGTGCTGTCTGAAGTCTCGGTTTGTGGGCTTGAGGTATTATCCCCTGCTGCGGGTAAAATCCTAGCTGAGTAAGAATTAGTTTTAAAGGAAACCAGCATTCCCCCAGCATTCAAACTGAACCGTCAGTTGTGCTGCAACATAGGTCCCCAGCATGATTGAGTTTCCAAAGAAGTCGGAATGAGCAAATATTGTAGAGAAATAGAAGTGGAAGGGCCCCTGCAGGCCATCTAGTCCAGCCCCCTCCTCAATGGAGGATTATCCTAAAGTGTTTGTACAGCCGCAGCTTGAAGACTGCCAGTGAGGGGGAGCGCACCACATTACGAGGCAGCCAATTCCACTGCTGAACTAGTCATACTGTAAAAAAAACTTGCAGAATAAAATAACAGTGTTTCAGTTGCAACTGCCACCGCTGTGTTGCATTTAGTTTTCTGTCACTCCTCTTTCTAGTGATTTTTTAAAAATCACCCCTCTTCTCCCTGCACTTGCGCTTTCTCTTTTGTTTGTGGCTCTGCCTCCTCTGGCAGCCATTTTGTCATCAATTCCACCTGCGCTGGCAGCCATCATTTTGTTGGCTGCCCACCACCCTTTCTCAGAACTCCAGAAGTGCCTACAGGCTTGAAGAGTTTGGAGACACCCTGGTATAGGTAATTCTCAAAGAAGAGTTAGCAAAATGGGTCTATTTTGGGTTACCAAAGACTCTTTGACTGGACCTCAAAATTTGAGACTCATATCTACCTAGTATACAGCCTGGTAGTTTGTGAGTTCAGGCCTAGGGATGGGCACGAACTGGTAAAATGGAGGTTCGTCCCGGTTCATGGTTCGTGAGGTCCCACGAACCAGGATGAACCTCTCCCACTTCGCAAACCGGTGTGGGTTTGTGAGGTTTGTGGATCATCCCTCCTTTCTGCTGGGGGGGGGGAGAACTTCCAAAACCCATTAATCGACTTCTGTGCAGCGCCCACTATCAAAACCCATTTAAAGGAAACATTTGGAAGTGGGGGGAGCAAGAGGGATGGCTGAGCATGCTGCAGTAGATGCAAGCCATTTCAGTGATCCCTCTCTCACCCTTGCGTCCCACAACGAACCCCACAAATCTCCAAAACCACATTGACAGTCCTGGGAGGTTGGTATAGGGATGGGCATGAACTGAGGCTCATGAACTACGAACCAAGCCCAGTTCGTGATGAATTTAGGCTCATAATTCAGTTTCTGCCCATCCCTACTCTGGCCTTGTGTACCTGTGACTGGCAGGCAGCGTGGATTGGACAAGCCTTTGGGCTTTGGTTACTCAACAGAGTAGGACCTTCTGTTTGATGCCCTTCAGGATCCAGCACAAGCAACTGACCTTGAGGTCCTTGAGTTGACTTCTGCAGTTGTGTCTGGATGTTGACATTCCCAGGCAGACTCTGACGGGATAAGCAGGAATTACTGTTGTGTTTCCTATTTTCTCTTCCACGGCTTTATATGTCTCAGTTTGATTTTCAGATCCTGTGCTGATGCCAGAAACAAGCAATATTTCCTGAGGTCCCCAGAGGACTTACAAGTGAAAACTGGCAATCTGTGGTTGTCATTTTAGACTTTTTTCCCTGTGGTGTGCTTTCTTGCAGGAAGACCAGCTTCCTTTGGATGCTGATGTAACAGAATTTGCACTAAAAGCAAAAGTCATCTATCCAATCAACCAAAAATTTAGGGTAAGCCTTTTGAATTGTTTTATGAAAACATGAGGGTGACTTATTGACAAACAAGGGGCCTGGGGAGAATGGTGTTAACATGCATGGAATTTCATTTTGGCAACCAGTGTATCCATTTGGGGTAAACATTAGCCAAGGAAGTTGTAATTCCTTTCAACCAAAAATCACTCCCTGCATTTGTTAAGTGGTATGTCTATACAAGGAGCTGCGGTGGCTCAAGTGGTTAAGACGCTGAACTGCAGGCTGTGGAAGGTCAGTAGTTCAGCAGTTCGAGACCCAGGTGCCACATGATGGAGTGAGCTTCCGTCTCTAGTTCCAGCTCCTGCCAACCTAGCAGTTCGAAAGCAAGAGATTGCAAGAAGATAAATAGGTACCACTTCGGTGGGAAGGTAACAGCGTTCCGTGTGCCTTGGCGTTGAGTCATGCCGGCCACATGACCACGGAAACGTCTTCGGACAGCGCTGGCTCTTTGGCTTTGAAACGGAGATGAGCACCGCAACCCTAGAGCTGGATTCGACTGGCTTTCGAGCAAGGGAACCTTTACCTTTATGTCTATACATGGCCATCCCAGGAGTCAAAAACAGGACGGGGTGTGATAGAAGGGCATTGCTGCTGGTGAAGACTCATCACCTGTGTAGAAAAAGGGCAGAGGGTTGGAACCACCAACTCACCTCCCAGACTTGGCCCTGGCAAGAGTTGCGCAAAAGTGCTTCCCTCAAGCCACAGCAGCGGCAGGAGCCCTGAGTCTGCAGGTAGCGGGAGGGTACCATTGCTCGGCTAGTCCGGGGAGCCACCAATTCACTCCTTCCTCCTGGAGCCACTTCAGAAGCAGAAGGTGGCCGGTCTCCTCAGTTGACTCCAAAGCAAACCCTCCACCCAGTTAGCTACAGGAGAAAAGAAAGGAATTCAAATTCCTTTCCCCTCCTTTCTTCATTCTCCCCTGCATTTTGTGTTGAGTTTCAAGTTGTAACATTTATTATCCTTCAAACCATGGAAGGAAATCTCGGGGGGGGGGGACGGCCTGGGGGGCCCCACCCCAACCCCAGCTTGCACAGTCCCTTCTTCCCTCTCATGCATGGTTTCCTTTTCCCTGTCAGCTCTCCCTAGTGCGGCATCTGCACTAGCAAACAATAATTATCTCTTTGCTGCAGAAACCCTTTTCAAGCTGTGGCCCTATATTGAGCGGGGGGGGGGGGGGGGTGGGCATCTGGCTGGTTTCCAGTCAGGAAGACGAGGAATTTAAGAGGAAACAGACCTCCGTTATCTCAGATGTTCTATGGATCTGATGTTGCTTTTGACTGAAAGGATTAATAAAGGATTAACTGGTGGAAACTCTTCTTTCTGATCTGAACCCTAACACAGAATAAGATTTGGGAGGCTCCAAAGGTCATCAAGAACAAAAGTTTTCAGTCCTTGACTCTTTTTGCATTGACCTGTGCACAGAACATATTTCCCAGAACCCCTGTGAATTGAAAAAGGTTTTGGGCCATGGTCTAGGGGGGGCAGCATCAGGTCCCTTGGGGGCCCCCCCACCACCACCCGGCACAAACTCAAGAGTGTATCCTAGAAGTTAGGCCCATTAGAAGGGAGGAGAAGATGTGGCAGATAAACAGCTGTTAAAGGAAGCCTGGCCATTCTTGCTCATGACAGAACTACCCCCTCCCCAACCCTCAGGACAGGACGGGGTACCAGTCAGCCCCACCACCTTCAGCAGACTCTGCTCTGTCCAGTCCACGTGAAATGGTCAGTGCTTGCGGAGAGCTCTCCCTGTTGCTCCAAAAACAGAGGTCATCTTTGAATGATGAAGCCCATTTCCCAGGAGGAGGAGAGACAAAAGTACACCACTTGCCACATTATAAATAGGTGACGAGGCAGGATTTAAGAGATTAAGAGAATTGGGGAGGCGCTGAGGCTCACTGGTAGAGCCTCTGCTTGGCATCTTCAATTAAAAAGACCAGGCAGTAGGTTATGGGAAACACCTCTACCTGAGACCCTGGAGAGCAGCTGCCAGTCTGAGTAGACAATACTCACGTTGATGGACTACGGGTCCGGTTCAGTAGTAGGGGGGCTCATGTGTTCCTGTGTGTTCCTGTGTCCATTCCCTCTACCCACAGCCCTTGGCGGACGGCTCCTCCAACCCCTCCCTGCACGACAGCGCAAAGCAGCCGGTCGTTCTCCCCCATCAGATCCTGGAGGGGTCCACCTCAAGCAGCCTGGGGTCCCTCAGCCAGGGAGCCAAGGAGGACGGGGCTTCATCCACCACCATTCACTCTGCTGCAAGCGATGACAGATACCGGGATCGGACCTTCCTCAAAGTGGCTCATTTTGCTGAACTGCTGACCTGTGACCCGTAAGTCTTGGAGAAGGGACAGCCGCCTAAGAGTCTAGTTACTTTAAATAATGCTGAAAGAGTCGTTTAGTCCACCTGTCCCCTAGGGGGAGCTGTGGAGCATTCTCTGATGTTTAGGGTTTGTTCAATGTTTTATCCTGCAGCTTAGCCTGCCTCTTCTTGTTGCTCGCTCTGCGGTGTTTGCAAGACCTCTGTGTTGCATTAATGGCCTGCAGGCAGTTCTTGTTTTTCTGCAAAATCCTGTTGCAGTAGATTCAGTGAAAGCAAACTCCGAAGTGTGCTTTAGATTATTTCAGAGCCTGCCGACAGTGATAGAGGCAGATTTCAGTTGTTTTGGTTGAAGTTCTGGCCTCTGACTGAAAGACTGTGCCATTGGTCGGTGTATTTCTCTTGCCGATAATCTGAATTCTAGCTGGGCCAGCTCTAAGTCGTGGTTCGGACTTGCAAACAGAATCAGTGTTTATGAACCAGGAATGGACTGAGAGACCCCTCTCATCTGGGGGGGTTGTCAACCTCCTGGTGGCAGCTGGAAGTCTCCTGGGATGACAACTGATCTCCTGGCAACAGAGACCAATTCCTCTGGAGAAAACGGCCACTTCGGCATTATTCTCCACTCTGGAGAAAACGGCCACTTCGGCATTATTCTCCACTGATGTCCTCCCCTTCCCCCCCTGGGCACCCCCCCCCCAAATCTCCAGTTGTTTCCAAGCTTGCATGTGGCAACCCAGCTCTCACTCAAATCTCCGTCAGCTTCCACTCACCAACCCCCCATGATTCATTTTTGGTGTGACGTCCAACAGCCCCCGTCCCAGGTCCCTGCTGTCTGCCATGCAGGGATGAGATTGTGTGGTTTCCCCACTGTCGGTACAACTGCCGATCAAGCGAAGGGGCAGGGGGGCTTCCACAGCCGGGCAGGCGTCTTGTGCTCTGCAGCCGGTGCCCTCGGGCCACCAGCTGGAGAAGACCCATCTTCTGCCTTTGACTCATCACTTGGTTTTCTGAATGTCCGCTGGACGCTTGCTCCTGCCAGCTGTCCACTGTTCACAGTGTCTCCGAGCAGATCGGTGCCGTTCAGCAAGCTACAGTGAGCCAAGCCATGTTCACTGAGCAGAGATTCTTATGACCATATGCCAACCTGCAATAAGTCAGCATTTAGGACCTCTTCAGGGGCGCGTGGCTGCATTCCGCAGGGTTCAGTTCAGCAAGCTACAGTGAGCCAAGCCATGTTCACTGAGCAGAGATTCTTATGACCATATGCCAACCTGCAATAAGTCAGCATTTAGGACCTCTTCAGGGGCGCGTGGCTGCATTCCGCAGGGTTCAG